ACACAGATTATGGGTACTTGTATATGCATGGGTCACTGGTTTTAGATGGGAAATCTGAAGGACACGCAAACACAGTGTGGCAGTTTACTTCTGAGTATGGGGCAGTCATAGAGGGACTGGCTGTGAACAAACTTCAGATGTCACCGTGCACACTCTATAATAATTGGATCTTTCTAAAATAAGCATATCATAATTTTATAATGCAAAAGTTATTTAGAAATTTAAATATATTAGAATAGCCGAAAGATAGAACCAACCCAAGTGTCCATCAACAGATTGATAAAACATGGTATTATCCGTACAATGGAATATCATTCTGCCTGGAAGAGGAGGGAGAGCCCGACCCCGGCAGCACGGACGAGCCTGGAGCACGTGCTCAGTGAGACCAGCCAGTCACACAGGGACAAACTCCCCGTGATCCCACTTCTGCGAGGTCCCTGGAGCCGTCAGGTCCACAGAGACAGAGCAGAGGGTGGGCGCTGGATGCTGGGGGAGAGGGAGGGGAAGTTAGTGTCTGATGGGGACAGTCTCAGTTTGGGAAGATGATAATGTCCTGGAGATGCTGGTGGTGACAGCCACACAACAGGGTGTATGTCCTCAACGCCGCTGAGCTGTGCCCTCAAAATGATTAAGATGGTCAGTTTTAGGTCACGTGTATTTTACCACAATTTCTAAAAACTTAGATGTAGAAAGTGGGCATGGAACTGTCTACTGCGTAAGAGTGAGCAGAGTTCACAGGGCTCACCAGGGTCTAATCCCAGGCTGGAGGAAGAACTCACCCTGTGAGCCATTAAAGGGACGGACGACGACACCCGGCTCGCCTTGCTCAGAGGGGCCTCAGACACACACACAGCTGTAGAGGATGCACATACCACGCCTGTAGCTCTCACTCAGGAGGTAAGCTGGAGTGATTTTTGTCCACTTCTTTCTGCACACCTACCGCCCAAGTTCTGCAGGGTGGTCATTTGTTGTCTTATAACTGGTAAACAGCACAATAAGTAATCACTTACAAGTTGATCCCCACAGCAAACGGATCTGGAAATTGCAGCACTATGTCGACGGAAGAGTGCACATGCAGGTGCTCCACCTTACAGTGGAACTCGAATCCACACACAGCACACAGCACATGGTCTTTCTTGCAAGTCGGCACTGCTTTAAAGCTTTTTAAAAGATGATGGGATGTAAATAATGAATAAATGAAGAAAGAGGGTGTCTTTTCGATGATAACCTTTTACCAAATGAACATACACATTGGGTCAGTAGCTCGATTTATTTAGCGCTTCTCTAGCGGCAGGTATGGGTGGGTCTCCCTGTCCCTGTAAGTGACACTGTCGCAAGCTAGATTTGATCGTGCTGCAGAGGGACAGTGCCTTCTCTGTGTCACACGGGCACTCCTTGCCCTTTGCATGACCACAGGGTCTCCCTTCCAGGTAGCAGCCCTTGGGGTGTCTGCGACAGCCAGCCATACACACCGGAACATCCTGAGGGCACAGCAGCCCTCCACCCCTCCCATCCCACTCTCTTGCTGTGGCTCCCAAGGTGAAACTGGGTTTGTACAGAGCACTGCGCCTGGGGAGTCTGTGCTCACGGCACACTGGATCCACCTGCACACTCCACAGGGACCACAGGCTGGGTGGCAAAATGGTACGGGTGGTTTTCCAGGCAGTGATGTGAAATGGCCCACCCGGGTATCTGCTATTATTGAACACCAATTAAATCCTAGTGCACAGAGTCCAAGAGTTATTTTCAGGAAGCCCCTGGACTGCAAATTTAAGGGAAAGTTGTCTTTTCTTGTTCTTTTTCATAATAATGTAAGAAGGGCAATCTTCACAATCTTCACCCACCCTGCGCCGGCTGACACCCCTGCTCCTCGGTGGCCTTTTGCATGCTGCCCCCTCTAGAGGCCAGGCACATACTTTTGTCCACAATAAGCAGCAAAAGGTAAACTTGGGAGCTGAATACTCGCTTAAAGCACTGGAGTCCAGGAGCAATCAGCCAGAGTGACACAGCAAATTGTGTTTAAGTCTAAATGTTATACGATTGCCTCTTCGGAGCTCCAACTTTGTCTTAAGTGATCTGGCAGCTGGGGTAAGTGCCATCACGTACACTTCTGAGCTACAGTTTCTCATCAGGAAAATGAGGTTGAGGTTGAAAATAATACCGTCTTGTGAGGGTGACATGAAATGAAAACTCATTTATGTGGAAGAATACACCGGTTTGTTCACTCAGTAAGCACTTTGCCAGGCACACGCTGGGTGCTGGAATGTGGACAGGGCAAAGGAGGCCATGCGCCATCTTCCTAAGCTGGCAGTCTATAAAGGAGGACAAACATCTGTCAAACAACTGCACAAACATGTACTTGCAGACTGCGGGATGTGCTGGGGGTAAGGTACGAGGTGCCAGGAGCCTTTCCTCTTGGGTGGGTAGCCGCTCTTCTTGTTGAGAGATCGAACATTTCAAACAGCCAAGCTGAAGTCTGTCAGAGAGCGTAAGAGGCCTTCTGCTGCTGATGCTAAAACAAGACACGGCAAAACAGTGTCCCCCTCACAGAAGAGCACGCTGTCACCACCTCTGAAGCCTGGTTGCTGGACAGTTAACACCACAGCCAGAGCTCTGGGTTGGGCTAGCTCCTATGGCTCCAGGTTTACAGAAAGTATAGAGCACAGGAAACAGGAGGAAGGGACATGTTATCATTAGGATGCACCCAGCAAAATCAGAATGTGAAAACTCCATGAGACAAGCAAAGAAGAGGGAGAAACCTTCTGCAGGTTTAAAGGGGCTTAACAGACAGACCCACCAAGCCAATGGCTCTTCTTTGAATCCCACTTCAAAAAAACCCACTGTAAAGAAAATTTATGACAACTGAGAAATTTGAGCACTGATTAGATCATGTTACTAAGACATTACTATTCATTTTAATGTGTATAAAACTATTGTGGTTAGGGTTATATACGAGTTCTCATCTTCCAGCAGTGCAGTACTGAAATACCAACAGACGAAACCACTGGACGACTGGGGGGAAGGGAGGCTCAGAAGTAGCAGGGAAGGCCAGAGGCTGCCTTTTGCTAAAGCCCAGTGATGCAATGCCCAGGGTTCATGTAACAATACTCTACATATTTTGTGATTGACATTTTACATGTCTCCTTTTAAAGCATAAAGTGCAGCTGGGAAGACAGTATATATAAAAAGATAACCAACATTGCAAGTTAGCACAGAAAAAAAAATGCCAACCAAATTATGCAGTTAATAGGGGTCACTGGAGAATGGAGATCCAAGAGGATTTTCCCAAAGACCTGCGACTCCGGGACGTCAAGAAGAATGGAAGGTACCAAGTGATGGGCGACAGAAGGCTCCTGAGCACTAGCAGACACATGGGTGTCACACTCTGGGAACACACCTGGCTCTCTAATGCATTTAAGTCCCTTTCGTAGGGGCTTCCCATTGTCAATAACTAGGACAGAAGTAGTTGATAAAAGGGATTTTTTTAAGTTGTGGGAGATGGGAAAGGAGACAGAGATGGGGGTACATAAGCTGGGGCACACCGCAGAAGCCTGGAAGGGGACGGTCAGCACCATGGACAGGGCCCAGAGGGCCAGGCAGAGGCCACTGCTTGGCCACCATCCAGTGGCTGGGGGTGGTTTTCTGTTCACAGCAGAGGTGTCAGGTGACCCTGAGCGGGGGGAGACGGGAAGTGCAGTGACATTGTGAGAGCCAAATGAGCAGCTGAAGGCCACTGATAGAGGCTAGTAACTCTGGGAGTTGCAGGAGGCAGCAGGGCCAGTAACGGGGCTGTCTCACAGCTGAGCAGAGGAGAAACCCCCAGAGGAGAAGTGCTGGGAGACAGGTGCCGTTCCCGGCAGCAGCCTCCTGCGGAGCACCGCCAGTCACACCGATGGGTGCTTACGTGCAAACAATTCGTAGGCAAGTGCACACTCTGCTTTCTCACACAGCTTTCTTTCCCAAGACAAGAAGGCAAAGACAGCATTAGTAATGGCCGCACATCACCTCCCTCTAATTATAACTTTGTTTGCCTTCCATTTAGAAGGTGCCATAATGGCTTTGTGGACTGAGAGAGAACAAGAAGCTACTTAGCTGAAAAGCAGTGAAAAGAAGACTGCCAGAACAAATCCACTTAAGGCATTACTTATAGAAAGTAGAATGCTAATGCTAATGTGATTCTCAGTCAGTTAAAAAACCTGTTATCTTCTTGATTTTATTATTTGTATATCTTCAAAGAAGAAATCATATTTTATCAGAATCTCACTTTATATTTTATGGTCTTTGAAAAATGTTGCTAGAAGGTAACTACAAGAGAGCCCTCTGCACTGAGAGAGGCGTAGAACCAGGAAGTACCGCGTCCCCAAGGGACAGCCACAGAAGGGCATGACTCACGGAAGGACCCTGAAGCTGCAGTGCTGAGACTAAGTCACTTCAAAGGTCCCACGGCACCTGCACTGCATCGTAAGGGGCATTGGTGTCAGAGTGGGCTCTTTGGGGACAGGCAAGTAACCACAAATATGTGAGGTGACCCTAAGTTTGAACATAAGGAGTGCTGAGGCTTGACATATGCTGAATCCAAAAGCCTTCATGTTCAATTTTCCACAACATTCTGTGGCCAGCATAGTTTGGGGGTGAGATTTGGCCATTGTTCCTCAATCTGTTTTAGCATCTTCATCAATGAAGAAAGAAGCTGACTCTGTGGGGTGGGCGTCTAAGTGCTGTGGCCCTTTATACCCCAGGAGGGCCCTTCTCTCCCTTCAGCACTGCAGTTGGATTCCCTTGACATGAATACTACCACCTTCTCTCCTACAAGCGCCAGAGGCACGGGAAGGTGCCCAAGGCCCTTTCTCTAGCTGCACTGGCTGCAGCTGTGACTAGGGGGCAGCACTGACGCGTCAGAAGCCATTCACAGGAGATGTAGAGTGGAAAGGGCTGGCCCTGGGCAGGGGCCAGAAAGACAGAAACAACAAAAGCCTGGGGGTTGGGCTAGGTTAACTTACCATCGCCCGTGGCTGGGGAGGCTTTGGAGTCTCCTGGAGGCGAAGGCCACTTCCGGGGGTCTGCCGGTGTAGAAAGGACCCTTGGTGTTTTCCACGGCGTGTGCAGCGGGTTTCGTGGCCACGGGTCACCCTCCCCGTGGAGTGCCGGGGGCTTCCGAGCCGCATAGGTGCCCAGCGCAGCGACCAGTTTCTGCCTGTTGACATTGCCATCCACCTTGGGGCTGAGCTCATCAGGCGGCAGCCGGCCAGGGGTCCGCAGCAGGCGGCCCCCAGGGTAGTCGGCCCCGGGCCCAGGAGCATAAGTCAGAGCAGACGTTTGCGCCATGAAGGTCAGCACGCTGTCAGCAAGGGGGTCCTCACCCTGCAGGAGCCGAGGATCAGAACAGTAACAGGTGAGTCTCCATGTCAGCCAGCAGAAAGGGCATTTGACCTCAATTTTCAAGGCACTAAATAGCACCGACATCTCTGAAATGCACACCCCAATTTTCACTCCAATGGTAGACCGAGTTCTATGGTCTGTATTTGTATCGCACTGCTTTACTAATAGCAGCTTTCTGAAGATATAATTCACGTACCACAAAATACATCCAACTCTATGTTTCCAGTATGTCCAGAGTAGTGTGAACATCACCAGAACGCTTGTTACCGTCCCAACAGAAACCCTGTGGTCATCCCCATCCCTCCTCCCTCCAGCCTTGGGCAACCATTAACATATTTTCTGTCTCTATGGACTGGTCTGTTTTGGACATTTTATGTAAATGGAATTACACAACATGTGGCCTTTGTGTCTGGCTTCTTTCACTTAGATGATGTTTTCAAGGTGTATCCACACATCAGTGCCACATGCCTTCCCACAGCTGAAAAATATTGTTTTAGAGATGCAGTACATTTTCTTTTTTTTTTTTATTTTATTTAAAAAAAAATTTTTTTTTTAATGTTTTATTTCTAAGAGAGAGAGAGACAGCGTGAGCAGGGGAGGGTCAGAGAGAGAGGGAGTCACAGATTGAAACAGGCTCCAGGCTCTGAGCCGGCAGTCAGCACAGAGCCCGACGCGGGGCTCGAACCCACGAACCGCGAGATCATGACCTAAGTGAAAGTCGGACGCTTAACCGACTAAGCCACCCAGGCGCCCTGATGCAGTACATTTTCTTTACACATCAGCTGGTGGACGTTTGGGTTGTTTCTCATTTTTGGCCATTATGAATAATACATCTATAAGCATTCATCTACAAGTTTTGGGGGGACATATGTTTCCACTTCTCTTGGGTTTATGCCTGGAAGTGAAATTGCTGGGTAGTATGGTAACTCTACACTTGACTTGTAGAGAGTGCCAGAATGTTTTCCAACATGGTGGCACCATTTTACATTCCCACCAGTGATGTGTGAGGACTCCGGTTTCAGGAGCTCCTCACCAACGCTTGTTGTTGGCCATCTGTTTCCTTACAGCCATCCAGAGGGTGTGAAGTGGTAGCTCACTAAGGTTTTGATCTGCATTTCCCTGAATGTGAATGATGTCATGGTCTTCTTGTCTTCCTAAGAGAAGTGTCTATCCATTCCATCACCTGAATTTGTGTTAACTGTTGCAAAACCATCTCTCCATCCATGAGTGAAGCACCTATTGCCTGTCTTATGGTCTTTATTTCACTATAACTCCTTTCTTTACTGATTATTGGATTCACCTTTATATCTTATTCCTTTAACAGCAATATTCTGTAACATCAAAGCTGCTGGGGTCTCTCTTAACAATTATATGTGACATCAAATCCATAAAAAACAGTCTTTCATTGAGCCTCCACCTGTAAGTCCCCCTCATTTATTTAGCCCATTTTCCTGGGAGGAAACAGACTGTTTTGCCACTAGACACATCAAGGCCCAGTTGTCAACCTGGAACAGCTACAAAAATGTTAGAAATTTCTATGTTCTACCTCTGACTGTGGGACCATCAAAATTTCATGGACAAACACAGAAATTTCCAACTTGGAGGGTCTCAGAAAAGTTACAGCTCTGCTGGAGGGGTGCTCCGAGCTCCCTCCCCGGTGTGAAATAGGTCCATGAACCATAAATTTTTAAAACCTTGCCCATTCATATTTTCTAAGTGCACCTTGCTTAGGGCACAACATCAATGTTGAGTCTACAGGGAGTAGACCTTGGGATCTAGTTAAGATGTGCAGCCATCATTGAATTTCAGACAAATGGTTCAGACTCTCAAGTCAGGCTATTTTCAAAAATACTTGGGTTCAGCCTTTCAGGACAGATTTTGGTGCAGCAAGTTAGAAATCAGAAAACTAGGGTTGATAAGGGTTCTAAGTTACTGTTCTCACATATGAACTTGGGCAAATCACTTGACCTTTAGAGACTCAATTTTCTGTCAAAGAAGGAGACCCGACGTTATCTCTAAGATTGTTTTTATTTCTAAAATGATGTGATTTTAGCTGTCATCCAAATTGTTTAATGTTGTCCAAGCACTAGCTGAAACCAACTGCATTTTCTTTAGAACAGAGAAAGGAAGATTCATTAGAGAAAGGGAGAGAAAAATAAAATGCTACCACACAAATAGCCCCTCCAGTTTTCCCACAAATTGGGTATAAGTGTCAATCTTAAGCCCAGCCTGAACTCCCATTCAGAAAGGCAGTCTCTGAACACCTGGGCAGGCCAGAGTGCTGGGGGCCAGGGAAGGCATCCAAATGCCTCATTAATGTGCCCACAAGCCTCTCTCCTCCTTTTGCCACGAATGCAGCCTAACCAAGGGCTTTCACTCAAAGGGCCTTTAATGATAGTTGGACTGGAAAGCCCCGGGTAAAGGACAAACCAGACTGAACACAGTGCACAGTGAATCACTCCCAAAGGAAGCCTGCACAGTGAACTGGGATAAATAGTCTATTCTGGGGCTGTTTATGCTCTGAGCCAAATTAAGGTAGAGGGAAAAAGAATATTTCAGTAGGGAAACAGTAGAAATAATAGAAAAACGTCAGTTTTTACAAGTCGTCCCAGGTCCTCTGTAAATGATGGCCAGTACTAGGGTGTCCTCAGGGGATCTGACGCTGGCCCAGGTATGGGCGCCACCGAATAACCAGGAGCCCTGGGAACTGGGAGATCAGCAGCAAGAGTATTCTCATGGTGGCTTCCTCCTGTGGCTTTAAGTCTTGGAGGAGAGACTAGTAGATGGGGCTGGATTCTGGGGTAAGGCTGCCTGGGTTTGAATCACATCTCCGATCTCACAAATCTAGTGAGCTTTGTGTTGGTGAGGTACTTAATCTCTAAGTCATCTGTAAAGTGAGGATGATAGCACTTTGCTTGGCACAGTGCTAGTGGCCACTGTCTGAACTGAGCATAACCCCCCCCCCATTCTGAAGAGGTTTTAAGTCTTAATTCAACAAACTTATAACGTCACATTTCCTAAAATAATGCTGAATAATTTTTTGGACTATAGTCATCCAAATCTGGAAATTAGCAACCTAAAAGTATAAAAATTTGCCAATTTCCAGCACATGGTATAGCCATTCTGGTACGCTGGTTGTTGGTACTGTATGTTAGAGAAATCTAGTTTGGAGACCTCTGCTATGGTAGGTACACTATGCATGAAGCATCTGAGAGCTGCCACAGGTGATGAAATTTACCCTGAAATTCTATTCCTCCAGGCATATTCCTTAACCCACAGTGTGGCCACAGGAGGAGTAGAGTCCGCTCACCCACACCTTCCACACGATACAACCACGGGGAAAGAAGGCTCTTTGGGGAGACTGGCCTGATCCTGTCAGCACAGCTCTGTGGAAACTGCATAGCATTGGACAAGTTATCAAACCTCTTTGTGCTTCACTTTTACTACCTTCAAAATTAGGAATATAGTTCCTTTTTTTCTTAAAGCAGGTAAAAGAATGAGAGTAAAAAGGTTTCAACATGGCCGAGAGGAGGTGCTTGATAAATGGTAGGCGGTGGCAGCATCTCTATCAGCATGATCCCCACCAACATCATCATCACCATCAATATCATCACTATGGGAGCCTGATCACCACCTTCACCACCCTGTCGTCACCACGGTCATCACTGTCACCTTCATCACCCCTGTCACCATCCTTACCATGCTCACCTACCTCACCATTGTCACCACCCTCACCACCATCACCTTCATCACCACTGTCACCTTCCTCACCACCCTCACCATTTTCACCACCATCACCTGCATCACCACCCTCACCTTCCTCACCACCCTCACCATTTTCACCACCATCACCTGCATCACCACCCTCACCTTCCTCACCACCCTCACCACTGTCACCTTCCTCACCACTGTCACCTTTCTCACCACTGTCACCATCCTCATCACCGTCACCTTCCTCACCACTGTCCTCACTACCATCACCACCCTCACCACCGTCACCTTCCTCACCACCGTCACCTTCCTCACCACTGTCCTCACTACCATCACCACCCTCACCACCGTCACCTTCCTCACCACCGTCACCTTCCTCACCACTGTCACCTTCCTCACCACCGTCACCTTCCTCACAACATCACCACCCTCACCACATCACTACCCTCACCACTGTCACCTTCCTCACCAATGTCCTTACCACCATCACCTGCATCACCACCATCACTGTCCTCACTGCTACTGGCACTTCCCAAGCACAAGTGATGCGGTGTGCCAATCTCTAGACTACATTCTGTGGGGGAAGAATGTGTCAAACATGGACCTGTCTTCAAACAAACTGCAGGCTGAAATGGGAGTTATGTCACAGACGTATGTGACTATAATTGAAAGCATATTATTAAAGAGGCTTTGTGATACCGACTTGGAAGGAAGAGTGGAAATCAGGGCGGCTGCCTGGAGCCAGCTGACACACTTCCTAGAGCCACAAGCTGCACTGCACCCCATCTGCCAAACAATGAAATAGTCACGGATGCTCCTGTCCTCTCAGCCTCCCCAGGACCAGGAACCAGAGCCCCAAGTCAGGCCTCCGTCCTCCCATGGAAGTCTGCCCACGCCAGCCCCAGACTGCACAATTATGAGCTCAGACTGCCAGGAAGGCCTGGAGGCCCTCAGCCTCACATGCAAGCAAGCACCGAGTGGAGGAGACTTATGTCTGCACACTGGTCACTAATGCACACTCATCAGATATTCTCTTATGCCAAGGATCCAACACAAATTAGGAAACTCAAATTGGGCCAACTTTTGACCACAGAACAAACATTTTCTCTAGTTTGTCTCACAGCCTGAAGGCAGCATTGACAAGCACATTGATCAAGACACGCTTGCTGCCGGTGACGAAACCCACAGCAATGGGGCTTGTCCACAGGCTTCCTAACGAGATGACCCCGTAATGCCATTGGATGTGGCCTGATCTGGGAGCCCCGTAGGAA